AAATTAGGCCACGCCCACAGAAATTTGAATCCCACTCCAGGGTGGGGAGCACCGAGGATGAGTTTGTAGCACCAAAGGGGCAGTGGACTGAAAAAGTTTGGGAACCACTGGTGTAATCCTTTTCAATATCCACTATAGCATTAAAATTCCCCACTAAACAAATATTTCCCTGTCCTGTTTCTTTTATTTTCTCATATAGCCTATTATACAACTCCTTCTGGTTGTTGTTGGGGCATATATCCCCACCAATAATATTTGTTTTTGTTGAATCGTTAGTTCTACCATTAGTATTCATCCATGTTCTTCAGCATAAATTTGTTTTGCTTTTATCCCTAATATACATGTGCGGCAGTGGCAGCACATTTGAAAAGTAGAGCAAAGCCAGAGTTCAGTAATTTTTGCTGCAAAGAATCACAAAAGCTTCTGGGTTGTGCATAAGAAGGGACATACATGTCAATGCAATTCAGCAACATAAAATAAAGAGATACAAATAAAACAAATCAACAAGAATCGGCAAAGCATCTCTGATTAGATTTTATTCACTACTAGAATCTAATCAGAGATGCTTTGCCGATTCTAGTCCAATGACCTGCTCCAGCAGGATTAGAAGGGAGTGTGTGTATATGTGTGTGCATGGCTGTCAAAACTCCAAAAACAGCTCAAGTATCTCTGGGGAGGCCAGTCATAAATTAGAACACTTGTTAAACAACCGGCCATTAAGGGGATCACTTGTTTGCCAGTCACCTGGCCACACCCACCCAGTCACATGACCACCAAATCACACCTACCCGGTCATGTGACCAGCAAGCCATGCCCACCCAGTCACATGACCAGCAAGCCATGCCCACCCAGTCACGTGACCAGCAAGCTAAACCCTCAAATTAGGCCACGCCCACAGAAATTTGAATCCCACCCCTGGGTGAGGGGCACCGAGGATGAGTTTGTAGCACCAAAGGGGCAGTGGACTAAAAAAGTTTAGGAACCACTGACTTAGACAAAGAGGCGCTTCTGAGGGCCTTCTCATTTGGAATTATTGTTGGTTGTAAATGCTTGCAAGACAAATGTGAGCAAGCAGCTTGCCAAAGCAGTGGTGGCTTGGTTGGCCCCCATAGCCAGTCACTAATAGGGAGAGATGTTTACTTGCTGCTAGCAACTTAGCAATCCATTCCACAATGCCTTTTCCAGCATCCCTATGCAAACAACAAATATATTGTAATGTATAATGTATCTCTTGCTGCGATATAATTCAATCTCATCAAAAAATTATCAAATAAGAACTAAACAGTTTATAAAATTACACAATGGTAAAAATCATTATGTACCATAAAGCTTTTATCACTGCCATGTAAACAAGACTAAGCAATTAAAAAACTGAATCCTACCATCTTTCTTTATTAAGATTTCAGTAAAGCATCCCCACCAACATGTACATCTCAGGCAGAATTCCCTATATTCACAAGGTGCAGAAGAAGCAGGGATTTATAGACCTACTTCTTTCCATTATGCAAGTTTTCTCGGAACAGAAATTGGCAAAAGATTTATATGATCTGGAGGGAAACCAGAGTTTATATTGTATTACTGGAAAGAAAAATGTATGGTTCCATTTATTCAATGGATTGAAGAACTGATTGTACTTGCCACTTACCAGCAGACTGCCTATAGATGTAGACCTTGTATGAACAAATATAACAAAATACGGGATCCATGTATACAGAATATAGTAGGTTAAAAAAAGCTAGAAATATATACAGACTTGAATAATATTTGCATTAGACAAGTATAGATTGGTAACTGTTAATTCATATAATGGCATATATTTCCTTTTTTTCTTTGTCATATGTTATCACTATTTTTGTTAAAGTGCTTTTTATGTGTGTTTTTCTCTTCCTTTGACAATATATATATATTAATATTACTTTTTGTTTGGCTTCTTTTTCCTTTTTGTTATTAATTAAATATATATAAATAAATAAACCACACAGGCAAAATAAATCCAGAGTTTAAGATACGTAAGTATAAGACTTCTCAAAGTAAGCTACAAAAAAGAAGAAAAAACGAGTTGACAACTAAGAGTTAGAATTGTATTGTCTGTTTGCTATCATTGACTGGTCATCTCAATTTCTAGAATCCAAATCTGGTATCCAGAGTCTAAAAGATCAAAGCTCAACCTAGGTTGTAAAAACTGAAGGGAGTTACAAGATCAGGTTCACACTCAAGATGTAAAGCAAAATTGTTACTGAAATTGGCTATCTGCTAGGTAGTGGCTTTGGAACATGAAGCTTTCTAGATGATGCTAATTACTCTAGAAGAAGAATGCAGATTTCCTGGAGAAAAACTCCAAATTCTTGAGTAGGCTGGCTTTGAAGCTCACTTTTTTGCCCTTTTATTCTCAATTCCAGATCTGCCACTGCTCTAGTATGCTTGGAGGGAATAGAGACTCAATCATGGTCACAATCCTGGACAACATTTTATATTGCATGCAGCCAAGGTTGCTCAGGCATTAAAATCAGATTAAATCAAATAAACAAACAAGGTTGAAAGTTTTGGTGGTCAGGTCTACCATCTGATCTAAGTTTGGGTCTGGCTCTTTGGGATGAGCCTTTTGTTCTTTTTGCTCCTGTACAGAGACATCTGGGGGGATTAAAAGGAGAATCATACAATTCACTCTTTTTAACTTTCCCCCATTCATTTCTCCCACAATCTGTGCAATCAGGATAAAATATGCAATAGGTGATAAAGTCCTAGATAGTGTAGGTAATCATCTGAAGATGAAATTCCTGATTTGTATGTTCTGCTTTCCTGATAAAAAGGTAAGGGTGGGAGAACAAAAAATGTTTCTTCAGATTTGCAGTCTCTGTAGGTGGTTTGTAATGCTGGTTTATTTCTCTTGTTTTCCATGCAGTAACTCTCTTTGCAGCTGATTGCTATTAATTCAACAATGTGTTGTTGGAGGTGTTCATTGATTACAGGAGCAAATCACAGGAGAAATGACACATTTATGGGCATTCTAGCAAACACATACACAGGAAAAGCAAACTTTTTAGGTGCCAGATTAATGGAATGATTTTTTAAGTTTGCTTGTTTTAACTAAACACTTCCCCCACCCCCACGCCGTGGAACAATTGAGATAAATATTAATCAGTAGCAGCTGAAAAAAAGGGCATGTATGACATACAGGCAGTTTATTGCTTTCAGTCTCTAATTATACTTTTATGGGAGCTTTCTGTAGAGTAATATGCTATCAACAGCTTCCAATTCTTTTAGGAGGTACATTTGCAAAATATTTTGATTTTTTTTATTGGTTCTCCAGGAAGGATTTAATTTAGATCCACGCTTTAAAAACTAAAGGTTCTGAATGAATCACCATTTCAAAAGCAAAATTTTGCTGGTTTTTAATTTACAGTACATAGTATTGTGAGTCATCTTCTGTGTTCTTGGAATCTGCTCAGGAGTCCACCAGTCATTTATTGGAGAGACAAAAACTGCCCAGACCAAGCCAGAAATCAGATTGAAATGTCTCCAGTTAATCAATGGTATTCAATGGTGTTTGACCCACATACCCATCATTTATTTGGAAATGTTAGTGTACTAGGTTGGTAGTTTGCATAGCATAAATGGGGGAAAACAGTTAATTATATTCTTTGGTTTGTTGTCTGACAGTGCTCAGTCTAACATCATTTTTAGAACCATCCTGCACTGTTCCAATCTGCTTAAAGAAAACATTTTGCCTTTTAACCACAAGGTGGCAATAATATAAAGACACCTTTCTGTGTGAATCATATGTGCGTGTAAGCAACCACAATTCGAGGCAACGTGATTCACCTCACTAAGGTGCCTTAACTATGTGATTCACTTTTTCAGTACTTCAATAGCACCCTCCAGCCATTGCAACCACTCACTGGAACAGCTAAAGGAAGCATTCAGAAGATGCAGATGCATCATCTTAATGTTAGAACATGTGCCAGGAGAAGTTGTGAAAGCTTTGCTCTTACAAAACAGAAAGTGCTCTGCTTGAAGCATTGTAGAAACAAAAAGCCCTTGATTGACCCAGAATGATCAGTGATACCCTCTAAACCAGGGTCCTCAAACTTTTTGATACCAGGGACCAGTTTTGTGGAAGACGATTCCTCCACAGACTGCAGGAGGAGAGGCGCATGCAACCTAGATGCTCTGTATGTACAGTTTCATTCCCCTACTTTACATCTCCAACTGTGCAACGTAGTTCCTAACAGGCCACAGACTGGTACTGGTCAGCTGCATGGGAGTTGGGGACTCCTGCTTTAAACCCACTCCAAGTTCTCCCGCTAGCAATGTTCAAGGGCTTCTTCTTCTGGGATATTTCCTTCTATGAATACCGTTCCCTGTGGCTTCTGGGCATTGTTCTAGAAAAGAAAGTCTTGAATATTTTCTTGAAGCAAGTTTTAACCATATGCCCAATTTGGCTACATTGTAAGAAACATTCTTCTTCCTTCCTGTCTTTTTACCCTTCTTCAGTCTTTTAAGATTGTTTATACTTGTGTCCTAGTGTTTGGAGTGTAAATCAGGCCAATCAATACTTTGCTAAGTTTTTTTTTGTTTTTTGAAAATCATTTGGATCTATCAGCTCTCAGAGTAGCCCACTCTAATTAGATCACTATCATTACAGCTGACACAAGATTAAATCTTATAAATCAATTATGAGACTGCAATAATGGAATAAAAATTAACAACACACATACTCATTGTTGCATCACCATTTCAATGGCAAGTTTAAAATATCAATCCTACCATTGATTCAGAAAACATTTGGATCTGATGACTTGCTAGGAAAGCAGAACCCCAAAAGTCAACAAAATAACGAAGGTCTGAATTCTCTCCAACATGATAAGCCTTATTATAAATGTTGAGGTCTTCCAAAATATTTAGCCTAAACAAATCTTATACACGAGTCCATCAATCAAGTAAGGAAGATGTTTGATCATTCAGTGGTTGATCTAAGTAACAAAATCCTTGGCATAAGAATGATAGTGGACCATCATAACTCAGGTATATGTCCACATATCAGACTTGACTATTTGCCAAGCTGAATCAAAATGTCTGTTAAAACATATGTAGTGGGCAAGGGAAGAGAAATAGTTTACATTTGAAAGGCACTATACATGATAGCAGTTCTTGGTGTAGTTTCCGTTCACAGCTATGGGTCATTTTATCTTATAAAATCAATAAATCCTTGATTTTATAATTGGTGCAACAATGCTTGCAGTTTTTTAGAGACCAAAGATAATGAACATTCAGTAGAGGGAAAGAGGAGGGGAGAGTTTGCCTCAGTGCAGTATGAATGAATTATCTATTTCAAGCCCAAAACAGAAATGGGCAAACAAGAACTTTCTTCTAACATTTCTATTTATATGCCTCTATAATACCTTCTATAGAGCATAAGGCCCAGACACATCAGCTAAAAACAGAAAGAGCCTCAACAGAAGCATAATTGGCCTCCATGGTGGCATTAGTATGCCTGAAAATAGAATTTTAATTTTATTTGTACACAAGGAACCATTGGAAATAGCTGTTCATGAAGTGCTATCTGATAAGCCCTCCACACATCCTTTCAAAGTAATTAATTAAGAAATACTGAAGCCTGGTATTGTGCCTACTTTCCATTGCTTTTGGCAGAAACATGGCATTAAAAAAAAATAGCACACAGGAAAATCCACAATCTGTTTAAGTGAAGCCCTCTTTGGATCTTCTAGAAGCTCAAGGGAAATAGCTGACTTTTTAAAAATTTGCTCTATTTTGACATAAGGCTCCAGAGGTCTCTGAATCAGAGTTGCTTAAAGAGTGACCATAAAGTGATTACATAGATTCAATTAAACACAACCTTTAGGGTGACTTGGTATTGTGGCTCTTGTTTTTATTTTTTATTTTAAATATTATTATCATTACCAGGTTATGCTATTGACTTTCTTGTGCAACCTTGAGCTTGTTTGTTTGTTTGTTTGTTTAACCACCTTCATTATTTTTATAAATGACTCACATTTGCTCCTCCTATTTTTTCCCCTTGTAACAACAACCCTCTAAGATGGGCTGGGCTGAGGGAGGGTAGACTAGCCCAAAATCACCCAGCTGGTTTTTCATTGCTAAGAACTCAAGTCTCCCAGTTTCTAGCCTGGTGTCCGAACTGCTAGAGCAAACTAGAATTTATCATTTTTTGTGTTTTCCATTCCTCACATCTTTTTGGCAGGATGATTTAAAAAAAAGATTAGGGTAACTAGAAGCTAAGCGTTGTCAATGATAGTTCTTATAAAAGTGAAAAGGAGAAATAAAAATTATCAAATGCATTTCATTTCATTGCATTTGCTAAGCAATCAGGTAAATTGTTGTTACTAAATGTATTTCAGGACACGTTGCCCTGTAGATGAATTGAACAGCAAACCTCATAGTCTTGAGGATACATAATCAAAATTCATGATAGGAGAGTATTAGATAATAGGAGTTAGCATCAAATGTATCCAGAGGGCACCAAGCTCACAGGTTCATGTTTATGAGTCAAGCTCAATGTGAAAGACATCTCATTTCCTCTGTAATAACCTGCTTTCTGTTCACTTTTACAAAAATGCCATAGTAGTTTCCTTTTTTATTACAAAACTTAATCTTGCAATAGATTTGCTTTTATAGTGATATTTATTCATGTAATATCTCTGATTGTACTGTATGCTAGTTGAGTCCAAATGCAACAATCATACCGTGTCAGTGATAATTAAGAAACCCAATGTCAGATCTGGCATTGGGGGTGGAGGGGCAGGGGGACACATACAGCAGGACCTGGGACTTCTTTATCTACTTTTCTTTCCAATTGGAGGTGTTGGAAGTTGCGGAAATGGGTTGGGGGCAAAAAAGAGAAACATACTCTCTTCCATTCTTCCACTACTGTGTGCTACCAAATGGAAGTTTGCCCAGCAAAGGAAACATAGTGTGATGACCCAGAGTATATCAGAATTATAACAAAAACCAAAACGTAACTAAAAGTCCTTTAATGCCTTCAACTTGGCTTCACTATTTAATTGTTCACAGTGGAAAAGTAAACTATTTTCAAAATAACATTTCAAAGGAAAGAGACACAGTTCAAATTCAAAGAGCCTGTTAGGGATAACATTGTTTTACCCTAACTGTTTTGGGTAAAGATAATAAAATGATGAATCATGGTTTGTCAGATAAAGTGTATGTGACTTTAAGCTAAAGGAATGTAATTAAGGGTGCAGCTGTAAAAGTACTATATAAGCAGCAAGGCACTCTCTGGCTCTTACTGGCTGGCTTATTGAAGACTGCATTCTTGCTGGATCGGGGAGGAGAAGAAGTGTTGGATTATTTTGAAGATATTTCTCAACGGAGAGAAGATAAGTTTTGGACAGATTTATTATATGTGTACTGACACTGGCTATTCGACACGGACTTTGCAATTAGAGTATCCTCGACAAGACTTGACTGAATTTGGTATATGACTAATGGACTGTTTATAATGACTATGCTATAATTCTTAAATGGAATAAACAATAATTTTGATAGCACAAGCGCATCTGTATTTTTACTGCGTGTTAACTAGAAAACTTATCTCACACATTTACCTGTCTTCCTATCTGACTTC